TACACTGAAGTGAGTTACGCTAGCGTGTCGAACTGTGCACCGCGCGGCAGTCTAGGTCATAAAGCCAAGCGTTTTTTTAAAAAAAACTTGAAAATGGTACGTAGATGGACTCGTTGCGCCATCTATGGGTGGCGATAACTTCCAAATTAATGTCAGGGCATAAACCAGCGAAAAGGGAAAATTATTTTTCTACACGAAAACGACGCGCGCCGAGACACACACCAACAAAAACGAGCATTTGGATTTATTCTCGCCCTACGTGCAAAGTCGAAAGGCTTCTGCAATCGCCACAGCTCCTCAATTGACCGATTACAGGCCGATTTGACATAACCGTTGAAATTGTTCTAAATATAGACAGCGATTAAGTCATGGTGTCGCCGCTGCGCGGCGTTTGCGCGCTTCGCGCGGATATCCGGGCTGCAGACTGTCCAGTGGAATCACTATGGTTTAACATCTACGAAGACACCAATACAATTTACATACAGCTTTCTAGGATCCTGATACATTTTTGACCACTATCATTCTACTTTAATCAATCAATATTCAAAACTGGTATAGGAACCATTAGGAAAATAGTTGCACATTTGCTCGCAACATTCAAGCTCATAACGCATAATAGAGCACCATGTTAGTAAAAATAAAAATAGAATTCCAAACTTTGGTGCGTCATGCGATAAGCTGGGCTCATAAACTTTTGAGCTGGGGCCCATAGTGTTTTTAACTTCGGAGGCCCACGGTGGCTAAAAAAAAATTTGATAAGTTTCCATCACTGAATTACCTGGATAAATTATATCTGGATTAAGGCCCTTGATAACGTTCAGTGACCTCATGTAGTCATATAAGTCTTCAAACACCTGGAGAAAATTTTAATTGTTTAGACATTGCAAATTCAATTAGCAACCAAGTAATAAAACCACTTGATTATCATAAACAAATGTCAAAATACACCAAACAGTTCAGCTGTGATATGGAATAATAATTAGTTAACTAAACGTTGTCACATTTTTTTAATGATATGTGAAGCCCTCCCTCCTATTTTCTAATGAATATGGAAAGCAAATGCAACATGACAAAAAAACTAGTCAGTCCTCAATCACGAAGCCAACATCTAATGAATATTTGCATTTTGCCATTTCAAACATCAACTAAATTACCAAGCACATGGATACATGCATGCCGCATGCAAATATATGCACTCATGCACTCCAACACACACCTGTACATGTTTATAATATTACATACAATTAACAGCTCACCGATGTACCCTCTCCTAGGATGCAGTCTCCTGAGAAAACTGCATTCTCTTCCTCTAATACATATACCAGGTGGTCATCACTATGGCCTGGTGTGAACACAGCCCTAATAAACACGTTTAAGTTCACAAGGTAATTGTAATGATACAGAATATAAAGTGATAAACAGAATCTTTACATGTCAAAAAATGCAAAGAAACTGAAGTCAGTAATTTGCTGGAATATAGATTCTACAGTATATTCGAGAAATAAAGACAATGCAACTTGCAGGATTACACAGTAATTGATGAATCTAACATTGTGGAATCATTCATTTAGCATGACTTTAATAGACCCATAAACATCCTACATTATTTTGTACTTTGACAAATTATTTTCATGTCTTTCTTGTGCTTTTACAACTATTTACATTTTTCAGGAACAATGCGACTCATGTATGTGCACTTTTATGAGAATGTAGTCACAACCTGTCAACTCATGTTATAGTGGGATACTCATGGCTAGAATGAATCAGAGTGCATAGTTAGATAATCTGCCTAAATTCTGATAGCATGATATCCACTGGACTACTTAGTATCGCTTCATGGCGAGAGAGCTTCTTAATCTTACTAAAACCTGTACATAGTTGATTCCAGTGGGTAAATATAGTTGTTTTTGTTAATAAGTTATGCAGGTTGGTACCTTAGTGTTGCACCCTCTGTAGATATTATAGCCTTATCTTTCAGGAAACTGTATTTTAGACCTCCACCGATTTCTTCATCATCTCTTGCTTGCCGCGGGTACTTTGAGATGCGCACAGACTCTACGCAAAACATATAGCCCATAGAATCATGAACACATCTATACTATAGTATAGTTCTGATGTGTTCATGATAGAACATATCAGTCAAATATCATCATATAAGCCAACTGTGCAGCCAACAGCAGACATCTGTAGCACATTGTAGTACACCATAAGAAAGTGATCATTTTTCACTAACTATATGTATGCCATATACCTTTCAAGAGCTCTGCCACTTCAACAATGCCTCCAATGTGGTCTGGATGCCAATGCGAGATAACAATCTCCTGTATGGCAATTTTATTATCTTTCAGCACATTTTGCAAGTTACTAATATAGTCTTGGATACCTCCTACTCCAGTGTCAAGTAGAATTCTTCTGCAAAGCACAAAACCTAGTTATAATTCACTTTCATGTGCCAATAATTTATAGGTATAGTCAATGTACAAAAGAAAACGTACTATTTAACAACTAAGACCTACAAGTTTTAGGATTAAAGCAATTATATAGTATAAGGAAAGATAAATTAGGTACTTCTACAAGTTGTATAACTCTTACTGTATACAGCACAACATACTTTTGTCAATGGGTCTCTATTCCCGAGAACAGTTAGGCCTATCAAAGTAGCTGTGTAAATGTGTATCGCCTGCCACATACTTTTATTCAGTAATTGAGTGATACTGATAGGGTACGCATTATACCCCAATTATCTTGCACAATATTACTTAGATTTAGATAGTGTGTTTGGTAATTAAAGAAAGAGTAGCCCATTGAAAATGATAATTACAACATGGCATGTTGTGAAAGCTTCTGACACTACTGATTACACTGGCTCAACATTGTGGGTACACAGGAAAGGGTGAGGACGCATTAACAGGACTGCCCATTGCTATTGATTATATGAGTTTAGCATCAGTATTCTTAGGGTGGTCCACAACCTAAAATTAAAACATGTAAAACTGGGAAGTTTAGAGGAGTACTTTAGATATTATTTGAAATTATTTACGAGCGCATCACGAGCGCAAAGCGTGAAGTCACTTGTGGCCGGGGGCCAGGGCCCGCCTTAGGGTCCTGGCAGCTCAGGGCTTTTAGATGCTCTCTGGTGCAATCTGAGCCTTGAAGCATTTTTGCACTAAATTTATGACCTATATTTCAAAATAATTTGGGTTTAGTCAAGAGTCATGAGCGATGCGTCATTTTTCATTGTTCAATTTGTATACTAGTGTGAATGTAACCAGTCAAATGTTATAAAACAATGTGCGAAAAGTGCAAATAAATATACTATAAGGTGAAACTATAATTCGCTATATTTATTCGGATTTAGCGTCGTTACTGAGTAGAAAATCAAATATCGTAATAAAGGCTCCCAATTTCCTTTTCCTAATTGCTGCCCAGGCATCTGCTGCCTCATGGAAGGGGAAGTCCTGAGCTGATGGGCCTTCCACAGACACCATCATAAAGGCATTTAGCGTGTTCTGATTCAGTCTTATTAGAAGTCTAGTTAGAAGGAATCTCATGAAATAGGCTGGTTATTGTGAGCTGTTTTTTATTCATAGCGGATTGCGAAGCGCTATGATATGAGGCTCAGGACAAGTGAAAGTCTATGTCGGACAAGTTATTCGTTTGACTAGTTGCCCGATTGGACAACTAAAAAATTCTAGTTGTGTAATAATAATTTAAATATCAAAACCCCTAGCCCTTATTCATTCACATACCAAAAATGAGCAAAATCCGTTGAACCTGAACTGACTAATGGCAATTCCCATTTTTGCCAAAAAATTGCCGTGGCTCGAAAGTACGTCGACTGGCGTGCTCCAATTAAATAGGACGTTTAATATGGGAGCATAGCAGTAACAACTATACCCAATTTCAAACATGTGGGTCAAACGGTTCCTGAGTTATCATTGACCGTAGCCAAATGTTGACGGATGGACGGACGGACGACGACCCATGGCAATAGCTCAGCTTGACGATGTCAAGGTGAGCTAAAAATGTCTAGGGCATGATTTATTGGTCTATCCGTCAGTATTAGTTAGTTAGTTAATAATAAGGATAATGGGTAGTAATATACGGTGGCGCAGAAGGCTCACCACAAATACAAATCCCACAACACAAATACAAATCCCACAACACAAATACAAATCCCGCAACACAAATGCAAATCCCGCAACACAAATGCAAACATCACAACACAAATGCAAACGCCACAACACAAATGCAAACGCCACAACACAAATGCAAACGCCACAACACAAATGCAAAATGCCACAACACAAATGCAAACGCCACAACACAAATGCAAACGCCACAACACAAATGCACAATGCCACAAGCTACAGAATGCAAAATCCGCTGCCCATGGCCCACCTGTACTGTTTGTACTGGGCGCATTGTATCGAGAGTCGATATATCAGGATACTTACTGACCTTCACTACTCTGATTGTAATACAGGCTGTTTCCCCCGGCCCCCTTCCCGCACACACGCTAGCACGCTAATATGGCCGGTTAAGAAAGTTTATTTACCTTATCATATCTGCGGGCCGAACTATAATGAAGTTAGCGTTTCTAGAATTCTACAGGCAGTGATGAATACATCGTCTAGCAATCAGTCTGTAATACCAGTGTCCAGTTTATTGACGCAAATGATGTAGGGCACATAATTAATTATGCAAATGATGCACGCGGCACGCGTTGACTCTTTTTAACACCGCTCAATACAACTCAATCTTCATAGAGATGCATGAGCTATTCACGTTACCGGTGGCCGGTCGGCGGGGGGGGCGCGTACTGTGTAACTGTTGATATCAGGGAAGATGTCGCAGAGGAGGGGGAAAACGTGAGAGGTGGAGCGAGGAGGAGGAGAGAGGAAGTTAGGAGGAGAGGAGGAGTGGAAGAGAGGAGGAGAGGAGGAGGAGGAGGGAAGGAGGAGGTGGAGAAGGTGGAGGAGGCTGGAGGGAGGAGGAGAGGTGGAGGAGGAGAGTAGCAGGTGGAGGAGGAAGCGTGGAGGAGGAGGGAAGGAGGTAGGAGAGGAGGAGGAAGAGGGGAGGAGGAGGAGGTGAGGTGGAGGAGGAAGGAGGAGGATTGGAGGTGGAGGAGAGGTGATAGAGAGGAGGAAGAAGTGAGGAGGGGAGGAAAGAGAAGGAGCAGGGAGGAGAGAGTGCAAAGGAGGAGGAGGAGGAGGAGGGGATGGAGGGAGGAGGGGAGGAGAAGAGGAGTAGAGGAACGGGGAGAGGAGGAGAAGGGAGAGGGATGGAGGAGTTTAGGAGGAGGAGAGCAGGATGAGGAGGAGAGAAAGTAGAAAATGGGCTGGAGGGAGGAGGAGGAAGAGAGGAAGGAGAAGGGTGGAGGAGAGGAGGCAAGGAGGAGGTGGAGAGAGGAGGTGATTGAGAGAGAGGAGGAGAGGAGGAGGCGGAGCGAAGAGAGGAGGAGGATTGAGGAACAGAAGGAGGAGGTAGGAAGAGGAAGGGAGAGGGGAAGGAGAATGAGGTCAGAGGAGGCGAGAGGAGGAGGGGAGCAGAGAGAGGAAAGAGGAGGATGAGGAAGAGAAAGTAGAAAGAGGTGGAGGAGAGAGGAGGAAGAGAGGAGGAAGGGAATGAGCGAGGGGAAGAGGAGGGAGAGAGGAGGTGGGACAGATCCTAGGAGAGTGGTGTGATTGAGGAGAGAGGAGGAGAGGAGGAGGAGAGAGGAGAGAGGAGGAGGAGGAGGGAGGAGGAGGAGGAGGAGGGAGGAAGAGGGATGAGAGGAGGAGGATAGTGGAATAAGGAGGAGAATGGGAGAGCGAGGAGGGAGAGGAGGAGAAGGGTAGAGAGAGAGAGGTTAGAGAAGGCGAGGAGAGGATGAAGAGAAAAGAGGAGGAGAGGAGAGAGGAGGGGAGAAGGAAGTAAGGCAGAAGGAGGAGAGGAGGAGGAGGAGGAGAGGAGAGGAGAGCAGAGAGGAGGAGGAGGAGAGGGGATGGAGGAGGAAAGAGAAAGAGGAGAGGAATGGAGGAGGAGAAAAGAGTGAGGTAAGAGAAGGAGGAGGAAGAGAAGAGGAGCGAGCAGGAGAAGGAGAACGCGAGACGGAGGAGGACATATGATCTTGTCATCCATATATCACTATCTTATGAATTGAAGCCAGGGTCCTAAAGCCATCCAATATCACATCTACTAGCTGTTTGTCAAAGGCCAACTTCATACCAGTTTCACTATCAGCATCTATTGCATTGAAGCAAGCGTCGCAACCGTCGCATCCCAATATCAGCTCTCTACTGTTTGAAGCCAAGCTTCTAACCATTTCCATATCACAATCTATTATTGAAGCCAAAGGTCCCTATCACATCCATATCACTCTCTACTGTTTGAAGCCAAGCTTTACAATTTCATATCGCAATCTATTGATTGAAACCAAGGTCCTACGCATCCATATCACCTCCTACTGTTTGAAGGCAATTAAGGTCCTACCATACCATATCACTCTCCTACTGATTGAAGCCAGGGTCCTACGCATCCCATATCACTACTGTTTGAAGCTAAGCTAACTCGTTCGCCTCCATGTGATTAGTAACTGCACTTTCTTACGGGCCAATAATACAGCACTGAATAAGTCTATGGGCATTACCGGGCCTGGCGCGTGAATAACAGCTAATTACTTAGACTAATCGTGCGTCAATAAACTCGACACCCAGAGATGTAAAATTCTAGAAACGTAACTTATATAGGGCGGAGATATATAGGTAAATACACTTTCCCTACCGGCCATCACGCCTACTATGCCTGCATAAGCCTATGGCATTACCTGCGCGTGATAACAGCGCTAATAATTAAGCTAATCGTGCGTCAATAAACTCAAACACCTCGAGAGATTATTGCTAAGACATGTATCATCGAATGCATGTGAATTCTAGAAACGCGGTAACTCATATAGTTCGTGAGATATGATAGTAAATACACTTTCCTACCGCCATATAGCGTGATAGCCGTGTGTGCGGAGGGGGCGGGGGTTAAAAGACAGCTGGTACTACACAATCAGGAGAGATGATAGGAGTATTTAAGATATCCTGATTATCTACTCCTGATACAATGCGCCCAGTACAGACAGTACAGGTGGGCGCGGGCAGGGGATTTTGCATTTGTGTTGTGGCGTTTGCATTTGTGTTGTGGGATTTTGCATTTGTGTTGTGGCGTTTGCATTTGTGTTGTGGCATTTTGCATTTGTGTTGTGGCGTTTGCATTTGTGTTGTGACGTTTGCATTTGTGTTGTGGGATTTTGCATTTGTGTTGTGGCGTTTGCATTTGTGTTGTGATGTTTGCATTTGTGTTGCGGGATTTGCATTTGTGTTGTGGGATTTGTATTTGTGTTGTGGGATTTGTATTTGTGTTGTGGGATTTGTATTTTTGGTGAGCCTTCTGCGCCACCGTAGTAATAGGCCTAGCCTAATGTGTCACCCATATCTGGCTATTTCATGAATTGGTCGATTCTGGCCTTAAGGATACTCTCCACGTTGCGCAAGGGTATTGCTCTAGTGAAGATTAAACGTTTATTGGCGAATGAATCAAATCAATCACTTGTTTTATTTATAGAGGAGATATATCTCTATGGCTCAAGCCAAAAAATTTAATGAAATTTCCAGCACCTAATTATGTTACCACACAAAATTTTGAATTTTTATGTAAAAATGGTATTTGGATATTTCTCACTACCAGAAGGAGTGAGGATACAAAATTTTTGCCACATGTTAAGCACAATATGGACCAAAAATAGCCGCGTAAGATTTTTCTTTAATTTACATATTTACCGAGAAAACTCGAAAAAACTGCTTAAAAATTAAGTTATGTGTAAAAATCGAAAATTTTAGCGAATAAAGAGGCATAACTAATAAAGTAAGGCACTTAATAACAATCCCTGACGGGCTTTCTTACCACAAAATGTTACCATTAAAACGAGTGTAAAATTAAATTAATCCGAGTTGTAATCACAGAGAAATATCCATTTATACATCGGCTACTATGTCAGAAATCGAAACGGAGAAATCAGCGTTTTTTCTATTTTTCACAATGAGTGACCGCCTGTGTGTAAAATGGGTGAACGTATGTGATATATCTATTGTTAGTACTTACTGCGACATATCCATGACTAACTGACACCACTAACTTGGTAAAATGTTCCATGCACCTTGAGAAATTGTAAGAAATTATGAGGTTACCATCGCAGAACGCGTGAACTCCGCTCATCCTGACGTCACAAAGCTAATATGTCAACCAACGCGCGCTATGTACCGCACTATAGTAAGCTAGTGTGTTGCGAGGTGTTAGAACTATTTTGGGCGTGGGATACTTGTTGGATCACTAGCAGATGTACATGAATGTACAGGGTGACCCAAAAAAAATGCAACCCAAACAAGTGTTAATAACTTTTTTGATATTGATGTTAACCCTTTAATTTTTCAGATTTAAAGAGGTGAATAGTTGCCAATCAGATTAAAATCAAGAGTTTTTCAAGATGCCTTGGACTCTTCGACAGAAATCATGGTTCGTGGAAACGTACTTTTCGACCAAATCGTTCAAAACTGTACAAGCACGTTTCAAGAGGGAATTCAATTGGCACACCTATCCAAACAAAGGACTCATTCTAAGATGGATACAGAAGTTCAGGGTGCATGGAACTGTCAAGAACCTCAATGCCAAAGGGAATACTCCCACACACTCAGGGAGACAAAGGAGTGCAAGGACAGAGGAGAACATCACCTCAGTCAGGACCTCGGTTGGCCGCAGTCCAAAGAAGTCGTTACGTTGGCGCAGCCAACAATTGGGCATTCCGAGGGAGTCTCTGAGGAGAATTATCTGGGTCAGCGTTAGCTCTAGTACTATAGCCCGCTTACATTGCCTGGCGCAGCCAGCGGCAGTCAATGTAAGCGGGCTATACTACTAGAGCTAGGTCAGCGTATGTTAATCCTAAATCAAAATTCTCCTCAGAGACTCCCTCGGAATGCCCAATTGTTGGCTGCGCCAATGTAACGACTTCTTTGGACTGAGGCCAACCGAGGGCCTGACTGAGGTCATGTTCTCCTCTGTCCTTGCACTGCCAGCGGCAGTCAATGTAAGCGGGCTATAGTACTACTACTACTACTACTAGAGCTAAATTCAGATCACCTTTTGCCATTTCCTATTAGGTATGTATTTGTCCCCAACAGTGTTTTGGGGCCCGGATTACAGCCTAACACTCTTATAACGTTATTCGAGAGTTTCTCGATCGCCGGTATTGCTGTTAGTGTTAGGTGCTGCATAACCAACTTTGTAGCAACTAAAGTAGAGACAAAACACTAAACAGAAAAGTAATCAGACATAAGTGACAACAACATCAACGAATCATCACGCGGCACGACATAGACTGGCCCACGCTCGACAGTTCTACTCGCGTTACACTGACGCGATCATTGGAACTGTCGAGCGCGGACTGGTCTAGGCCACTAGGCACGACACTGTTGACACTCGCCCCACCTAGTGAGTGATGCTCACTGAATTATTATGGTTTGTTTTGTCGACTCTAAAACATAACACTTTCTTTTTGTTATATTTGAAGTAGGTGGATGTAACCTTAAATAGCAGAGATTAAAAGCAAATGCATTTAATAATATTGGTACAGTATAGACACGTCCATAGATATCTTTCAAAGGCCTAATACCAATCCTTCTGTTCTGACAGTGACACTGACATTATCGATGACATGTATTGATGTAATACTAATAATACGGCCCAAGGATAGAGAACTAGCAGTCTAATAGTAATACTAATAGTAATAGTAATACTACTAGTAATACTATTACTAGTAGTAGTAGTAGTAATAGTAATACTAGTCTAATGCTTATAGGGTCTATGTCCCCCAGGGTACTGCCGTAACGTACCTAGGGTTCTCCCCAGGATGAAATTGAAACAGGGGGGAGGGGGAGGGGAAACTAGGGAGGTCTGGGGGGCGTGTTTTTTTACCGTACCATTAATTAATGCGTAAAATCGCCACCACACCATAGACGGTATTTAGGGTACTTGTATATATAAGATAGCCGAGTCGGTGTGTACAGCAGCAGGGTTCTCCCCAGGATGAAATTCAAACAGGGGGAGGGAAAGGGGGAGGGGGGAAACTAGGGGAGTCCGGGGGGCGTGTTTTTTTACCGTACCACTAATTAATGTGTAAAATCGCCACCACACCATAGACGGTATTTGGGGTTCTTGTATATATAAGATAGCCGAGTCGGTGTACAGTTAGTGTTGGGTGTGGGACAGGTTAACTGTTTGTAATTGTGTATTGTGTGCAGTGCATGCATGGCACGGTAAAAATACACGCGCCGGCCGGTGTCCTGGTCGAATTGGAATTCCTGACGATCGATTCCCGCGCTGGCAAACTTTTATTGTGGTGGAATTTAATCGGGGCAGAGGTAATTTAAACGGGGCGCAACGATTGAAACAGGGGGGAGTTTTCCCAAACGGGGTCTGTCTGTCTTTTTTCTGTCTGTCCCAACGCAACGTAGGGAGAACTCTGAGCAGTGTATAGCAGTGTTGGGTTAGGGTTTGGGACAGGTTGACTGTTTGTACTTGTGTGTGGTCTGCAGTGCATGTGTAGTGTAGGACGTTTACGCATTAGTGTTAGGGTAAAGATACACGCGTCCGGGGGCCTGTTCGAATGGGAATTCTTGACGATCGGTTCCCGCACTGTCAAACTTATTGTGGTGGAATTTAATCGGGGCGGAGGTAATTTAAACGGGGCGCAACGATTGAAACAGGGGCGGGGGAGTTTTCCCAAACGGGGCGCGCGCGCCCAGTTTGCGCAACGTAGGGAGGGGCCTGGTACCCTGGGTACTGTCCGGTATACCGGAACGTACCCTGGTACTATCTAATATGCCGGACCGTCCCTTGCCTACTCCACTAACGAGTCTAGGGAGTCGCCTACGCCTACTACCTAACCCTAGCCCTAACCCTAACCCTAACCTTAATCCTAACCCTAACCATATAAAATAGTGACCAGGGTACGTTCCGGTATACCGGACCGTACCCAGGGTACGTTGCGGCAGTACCCTGGGGGACATAGACCCTATGAATATGAGCTATGGTTAGGGGTAAGGTTAGGGTTAGGGTTAAGGAGTAGGCGTAGGCGACTCCCTAGACTCGTTAGTGGAGTAGGCGAGGTACGGGCCAGCATATTAGATAGTACCAGCAGAGCATATAAATCACTTTGATTTATATGCTCTGGTACCAGGGTACGTTCTGATACCGGACCGTTCCCAGGGTACGTTCCAGCAGTACTCTGGGGGACATAGACCCTCTCAGCAATACTAATAGTATTACTATTAGTAATAATAATATTAGTAATACTGTAATACTAATACTTAGTACTAATAGTAATACTATTACTATTAGTATTAGTAATTAATAGTAATATTATTACTAATAATACTAACATGTCATTGACAATGATAATAATAGTATTACGTATGGCTACTCAGTAAGTCCATCTTTTAAATCGTGTTCATGGATTATCGTTGTCCGCAAATACAGACGTTGTATAACTCCGCTTTGCTAATCTGAGGGTGCGGGTTTATCGCATGCAGTCACCCTTGTAAAAATTGTTGCAATTTTTGTTGTGGGCATTGGATAGGTGAATCGAGTAGCACTGAGGGCGTGACTGGGGTATATCCGACCCAAAATATTAAGTACAGACCTTCTGTTTGTCATTAATGCTTTCCGAAGACTTTATCTCCGTTTCAGAACTTTTTTTTCATGCAATAATTCATCCTAGTAAGAGTAACTTCGATATTTCTGGCCTTATTAATTTCGATCGGCCAATGAAATTCACTTCCGGTAGTTTCGGGTTCACTCGGAAATAATTAAGATTAACCGGACCATAGATGGCGCGAACTATATTTGAACATCGGGAATAGCCGAAGTAACCGAACGTGATTTTCATTGGTTGACAAATGTGAATGAAGACAGATCATTTTGGTATGATGTTTATATTTACCATTAGGTTAACAACTTGATATATTCTTATGCTGTGGCTGCTACCAGGACATCATAGCGTGCATGCACGTAGATAAATGATTCAAGTGCCACGCAATAGGATTTTATATATCCGGCGCATATATTATATATAAGTGCCACCTCCAAACTGGAGGTGGCTTTCCGTGATTGAGATAGACACGGCCGCAGACCCCATTATTGGGGTCTGCGTCGGCTCGGACTAGGATTATCGCTGACCACAATTCATTTTCGCAATGTGCGACATGTGCAAATGACAATGCATGACAATTACAATGACAATGCATGTGCAATGTGCAAATGTGGACAGCTCTTAATCTTATAATCCTTGGGCCCTAATTCCTAGAGACTAGAGTTCTGCGGTCCACAGTGCCAGGGCAGTGGGTCCCACGGTTACCGGGTTAGCAGGTCCTAACCTAGCTCTAGTAACTATAGGTGCGGGCGGACATACAGGAACTTTGCCACATCTGGGACTTTCTGAACATAGCAACCAGCTGTGCCGGTGAAAACAACAGCCTGTCTCCGTGAGCTTACACACGCAATACCCCCATTTCCAAACCAAAACTAAAGCATGATATTAATTTCCTTGCATATATGCCGAAAACTTGTAGTACGTAGGTTGTCACAATCATATATATTGCACAGATAAGAAAAGATATTTTTTTGAGCTGCCAAAATGACATAAGAGTCCAGAGAGGCGTGATAAGTCATAAAGATACAAGAACGATTAGACTAGATAGAACACAAGAGACCATAAGCGAGAGAAAAAAGAGAGAAAGAGAGAGAAGAGAAAGAAGAACACTAGCACCTTGTGGATTTTTGTTATGCTCTTAACGTTTCAACAATATCGACTACAGAGAAAGAGAGAGAGAGAGAGAGAGAGAGAGAGAGAGAGAG